GTTCCACTGAAGGAAGACTGTCTCTCTCTTGGCACACATAGTTGTTCAACTGTGTTAGGTCAATAAATATCATCTTATCACTGGGTGTTGGCAGAACCACCATCCCAGAACATCAAGAAGGTTCTTCAATCTTTCTGATTACTCCCATTTCTTCCATTTGTGCTAGTTCTTCTTTTATTTCCTCCGTTAGCAGACTCATCTTGGTATAGTTCAGGCATACAGAACTGCATCAGCTTTTAGAAGTATCTTATATTCACTTGACATTTTTCCAAGATCTGAATAGACAGATGGGTATGTGGCTCTGTAGTACTGCTCCAGTGATTTCTGATCCATTATTTCATCCAGCTGATGGACAAGTTGTAGTGCCTGTATGGCTGGTAAGCCAAGCAAAAGGACAGCAAGATCACAGATCACATAAACTTCCTGATCTATAGTCCCCTGCTTCTGTCTCGTTTTTGCATTGAAGGATCCCAGTACTTGGAGGGTAGTGTCACCTGGTCCCTGTAATCTTTTAGTGGGAGGAAGGAGGAGCCCATCCCTATGTCAGCTGTAGTAAATACCAGATATAGCTGAAACTACCACTCCTGTATCAATTTTAATGGAATTTGTTAGACCCTGACTCCATTCGACGCCCAATGACTAGGGAGATGATGATTCAATTGCTCATGGGTCCTGTCACTCATTAGCCAGAGCAAGCAGGGAGCAAACACCAGCACATGTTACTCGCAACAGCTTTATTCAGAATGGAGACAGCTTCGGACTAGCTCCCAAAACACCAACAAACCAGGGAGCCTTAGGGAACAATAGTTTTTTTCTCCACATTTGTACACTTTGGTTTATACTCATTAACATTCACTCCACCTCCGTCCCTCCTTCTGTTCCACCCACTTCTCCTCCCATCTCAAGCTCCGCCTCTGTTTACTGTTTGCTTCATTAACATAGAATTGCCTATGCATTTTATTCATTTACATGCCTTTTTGCTATGAGCGCATGTCTAAGGCCATGAACTCCCTTCTTTCAGTCAACAGGTGGGCTCTGGGGGCTTCTTTACCAATCACCATTCATCCTTTTACATATGTTTATTTCGGTTACATGTTCTCTTCCACATTCCAAACTGTTTTTGTGTCTCATGTTGTACTATCTCCACTTTTTTGGGCCCCTGTATATTATCTCATTCCTCACTATAGCTGGTTCACAGCACACAGACTTATTTGCTGCTTTTTCCAGAAAAATGGTTAACACAATTAAGATGGTTACTTAACATAAGCACTCATAAGCAAAGTGTTGTATATAAAAGCTATATATCTCACAACAATACTATTATATGGTTAAAAACTACTTGCCTAAGCATTCACAAAGTTACTTTTAATAAATATATCATTCTGCCTTGTGGTCAGCAGCTTTGCTGAGACACAGATTAAAGCCTTGTTCCAGCTGCAGGTCCAATGCTCCCTAAAAATCCACATAGTGTTACCCTAACAGAATTGACTGTCCATTGAGCAGTATTTCTGTCATCCAGACTCCTGGGTCTGATAAAGACTCTGTAAGTTCTTTTAATAGCACAGTACAATCCTCTGAGGCCTGTTCTGTGACTTCAAAGACTCTTGTGGTTGGGCAACAAACTAAAGCATAGCAACCTTTCTTTTTACACCATCAGCATATCTTTTCCTTAGCAGGATACTTAGCATAACCAACGTTCAGGGATTTTACCACACCTGAGGCATTGGCCCCCTCTCCCACTTGGTTGTTGCTGTGGGCTCCAGTAGGACAGATCCCTTTGTTCATTGTGAATATCAATTCTATTTCCTTTTGGCTATAGTTTCTTGTCAATGTGTATTACATGTATATTAGCTGATGCCTGATAGGATCTGGAATCACTTCTGATTTCCCTTTGTCGCTGCTTAGCTAACTCTGATTGGTGAACTTGTGTGACAACCTTCTGCAGTGTAAAATCAGGGTCCAACTGTAGTTTTTGTGAGAACTCTTTATAGTAAAGACCCACAACTAAGTGGCCCCTAATCAGTTCTTCCTTGAGCTCCCCATATTGGCATGCTAGAGCATGAGTCCATCCTTGAACTGCAAGCTACAAGGATGTCAGGCATTTGTTGAGAAAATTACCAGGAAAAAAATATCAGAACAAATGTGGCCTGTAGGGTGGCACTTTTTCTGCTGCTCCTGCTAATCAAGTCTGCTGGAGCATGCTAACTAGCACACACCAGTATCCTCAGCATGTGGCTTGAGTGTTGAATGAGCTTTAGTTAAAGTGTTTCTGCCACCATTTTGAAGTGCAGGACACTGAATACACAAGACACTGTGGGCACTTTAATTAGAGCAGCTTCTGAGAGCTGCTGTAATTAAAATACGCCCCTCAGCCCGCACCCCAGAGCACATATAAAGATGTCCTTATAGAACAATGCTAAGAGCACTTTATGTCTTGCAGACCTGCAGTATTCTGGGTATATCTGAGCAGCAAATGAGCATGCCCATGTCCATTTTCTTAGCCATCTGGCTTGCTGATTTGAAGCCTAAAAGACTGACCTGAAGGTCAGCTTTCAAATGAATGCTACAGTTACATAAAGAGGAACATTCTTAATAATGGCACTGACTGCTCACTTATGGGTGATTGCACCATACGTTTGGAGGAAGTGTACCAGAAGCAGTACAGACCTGAATTTTGCAGCATTACTAGCTCTTGATTGTTTTTATCATTGGTAAGAATGAAAATGAACACTATGAAGGAGATGATATTCATAGTATTTAAATTTCAAGCACTGGCCATACATGCAATAAGATTTATTGAAAAACAAACCTCTAGGTATTGTTATTGTGTACCCTATCAGTATTGCCCCCTGAATCTGAAAGAGTTAAAATGAGTCATGTCTGAGTCTCATGGTGGGGTGTAAAGTTTGCATGAAATTGCTAAGTTGAATTTCATTCCAAGCTTAATTATTTGTTTGTAGTAGGGTTTGTTCTTTATAACTAATGACAAGATTTTGCATTTCAGACCTTGAAGTCTAGGTAACAGGGTTTTTATTACAAAGGAAGGATTTTTTATGCCTGAAGCAAGCAACTGGGGAAATACGTTTGGGGTTTTGTTGACAGTTTTTTTGGGCTTTCTGATGATGATGGGCAAATCATAACCTCTCCATATCTTGATTTCTCTGTCTTTTAAAATTGGAATAGTTTTAGTTTCTGCTCGTGATTTATTTTAATTAATTTTGGGGCAAGTTAATCTTATGATTTTTTAGATCATTTAGTAGAGGTTAGCAACCTATGGCCTGTGGGCTGAATCCAGCCAGTGGTGGCACGGGAGATGGGCAGGACACAATAGTGTTGAGCTGCTCATCCCCTCCACAGCCCTCCCTGGTGCTTTCTTATGCCTGAGTTTGCCTTTGCTGCAGATAAGCTAGGTACCTGCAGCAAGGGTAAGCACAGGCAGCTTTGGCACTCAGGGGGCACGTCTACATGAAATTCTAAATGTGCAGTAGACTAGTTCTACTGCATATTAGTACATCACAGCAAAAGCCATGCTAATGTGCTAATGCACCATAGAACTAGTCTATGGTACATTAGCATTACTAAAAGACCATGTTATTACAAGTACTAAACTTAATGTGCAGTAACAACAGCACATTAATGCATCGATAGAGACTTGAGACCCATGGCAAGAGGGTTGGATTGCACATGCAAGCCTGCAATGGCAAGAGATTGCCCACCCCTCATTTAGTAGATTAAAGTGCTACATTCTGTAAATAGGCAGACAAGGTTCCTTGGGTGAATCTGATATCTTTTATTAGACCAACCCAAATAGTTGGAAAATAATTATTAAGCAAGTTTTCGGGTTCAAAAACCCTTCATCAGGCTAAGGAAGTTAACTGTAACTTCCTAAGCCTGATGAAGGGTTTTTGAACCCGAAAGGGATGAAAGGGTTTTTTACAACCTACACCCCTGTAACATTCTGTAAATACACATTTTTTCAAGGAACCATATTTTTCCAAGCAGTACCCATGGAATGCCATGCCTTTTCAACTGAGGAATGATACTATCTGGGAAACCTTTTCTAACTGTATGCATTTAGGATTTAACCTTAACAGTAGAAGAATATTAGCTGCATGTGAAAGTTACTTGTTTTGTATTTTTATATTAGAATATTTATTCAGGGTAAACACAAGCTGAAACTTAACTGAAACGTTTGGGTTTTTTTAAAAAAGAGAGTAACTCAATAGACACATTGAGCTGCTATCCTAAAGCTTCTCAATGGGGCTTTGTAATCTTAAAATAAAAAACCCTCTCCTGTGATTTATTTCATGTATATGATTAACTCATTCTGCTTCTGACTTGAAAGCCTGTGGGTGAAAGGTTAAAGATATGGCATCTCTTTTTTATACAACAGGCTTCCTTAGCTTGGAAAAAGGAGGAGGTTACAGTGCTGCTCTAGGCATTAATGCCTGACTAAGAATTTGGGAGGATGAGTGCACATGCCTCTTAATTACTAATAAATACTGTTGTGAATTGTTTTGATTCACCCATAATGTCATACAGTTGGAATTGGTACTGCTTACTTTTACTTTTGTTGTTTTGTTATTAAAAAAGGCTAATAGATTTTTTTTCCAGTTTCCACCATGCTGTCCTACCCCCAGAAGTGGGGCAGGACACAGAAGTTAGAAGAGAGAGGGGGAACCCAGAACTCCCATCCACTGTAGCAGCAGGAGCAATAGAAGGAGCAGTGGCCAGGAAGGAACCAGCGGGCCAAATGTTATCCCATCATGGGCTGCATGTGGCCCATAGGCCACCAGGTGAAAAACCCTCCTTTAAAGTGGTTGACATGAATCAGGGGTCAGATGCCAGGCAGAGTTTTGGTGCCCTCCTGCCCATAGGGCTGCGCCCTTCTCACCTTTTTCCTGTGTCACAGGCAGCTTTCCTCACATGACAAGTGGAGCCTTCTTCATTTCTCCACTTTCCCCTTCAAACATTTTGCACATTTTACATACTTTTTCCAGAATGACTTTATTGGTGAGCTCAGAGCACTTCTTGCAGGAACCCTCTTCCTGCCCTTCACCCACCATCAGAAGTCTCCGGGAGCAGTCTGCAGCACAGAACAGGCCCTCTCTGGCCTCCCCTCCTGCATGGCGGGGTCTTTCCTTAAATACATGTTGGTGCAGACTCACAAATTCGATACAAATCAGTGAAACATGCAAGGTCATTCCAGTTTTCTCTCGCTTGTTTTTTTGAATTCACCTGGAGGGCAGTGCATGGCTCCAGTATGGGATCACTGGGCTCCCCAGGTTTCCAGAACCTGCAAGACAGAAACCCCAGTGTCAGAAACTCACCATTAGGAGGTTCTCTGGGGAGCAAGCTGTGATGATTCAGGGATCCTGGTTTTCTCTGTTTAAAAATCCCAAACTCTCTGATTAAAAACCCCAAATCCCACATTTTCCTGCAATTAAAATGAAATGCCACTATATATATGGGTATCAGTTGAACACAATGTTTTAATGATATATTTGCAATTTTAAAGCAATTTGGAAGCCTACCAGTGCCTCAATCATTATAATAAAACTCAAAACAACTATATATTTTGACATTTGATACTGATTTTTTATAATGGAAAATCAGTGCACCTCCTGCCCTCCTCTGCTCACCAGGACATGAGTCTAGCTGTGGATGTACCCCCTGCTGCTTTGTGGTGCTAAGCAGCCCTGATATGCTGGTGTCCTGCTCCTCCCCATGCTGTTGCCCATCCCTCCCAACCCACAGCCCTCCCAGCCCTACCGGTGCCCATCACTCTCAACCCGCAGCTCCCTAGCTCTGCCAGTGACTCTCACTTCCTACCCACAGCCCCCTAGCCTGGCTGGTGGCCATCACTCCTGACCTGCAGCCCGCAGCCCTGCTTCCCTTACTCCCAACCCAGAAACTCCTGGTCCTGCCATGCCCCTCACTCCCAAGCCACAGCCCCTCCAGCCCTGCCAGTCTCCCTCATTCCCAATGCACAGGCCCACGGCTCTGCTGCTGCCCCTAACTCCTGACCCACAGCCTCCTGGCCCTGGCGGTGCCTCTCACTTCCTGCCCCCCATCCCCTCACACCGCTCCAGCCCTGGCAGTGCCCCTCACTCTCCATCCAGAGCCCCCCAGTCCTGCTGGCGTTCTTCACTCCCAGCCCACAGTCCCCTGCCCTGCCAATGCCCCTCACTCCCAACCCACAACCCCCCCACCTCCCCAGTGTGTGAGGAAGGGAGTGGATGTAAGAGGAACAAGGTGGTTGTGTGGTGAAGTCAGGTATGGGCACAGGTAATGCATGGGGAAAGGTGGGGGGGCACAGGTGAGGCATCTGGGGGCAGGTGGGGCACATGCCCCCCAGATTTCTGCATCCAGAGCAGAGCTTGCGGCTGCAGTGGGGCCAAATTAGCTCTGAGCAGGATCCACCTTCACAGCTCCATGGGCACGATGCAGCACAGGAGGGAGTGCCGCATCGCCATGGGAAAGGTGTGGTGGGGCAGCAGCAGGTGCCTGGCAGCAGCAGGGGCACAACTGCACACCACCATTACCACGCCTCACTTTGGCAGCCTTGACAGTGTGGTGCTCCCTCCTGCATGGGGTCCCACTTGCTGGGCCATGGAGGTGGCTCCTGCCTGGAGCTAGTCAGGCCTGGTTGCAGCCCTGTGCCCTTCTGTGGGTGCAGCCATCTTGGAGGGGCACATGCCCCCTCCACTGCATTGCCTTGGCCACCCCACCCTGCCGTATCACCTGTGCTCCCCTTCCCCCCAATACATGGACTGTACCCCCCTGCCCTTCCAATGTGTTTCCTGTGCCTCCGCCCCCTGCCCCCTCTCCCCCACCCACATAGAGGAAGCTGCGGGAGCTGCTCTCCACCGCCCTGGCTGGAGCTGTACTTTTGGCTGCGTACACGTGTATGTCCCTGTGTCCCACCACCTCCAACCCCAAGCAACCCCTTGCAGGCTGAAACTCTGCCAGCCTACAAGGGGAAACCTTCGGATTCCTGTGTTTTTCTCTTTTAAAGGAGAAAATCTGCATTTTTTTGCAGCAAACAGAAAACCCAAATCCCTGGTGATGAGGATGGAAGAAGGGGGAGGACATCAGCCTATGACTCACCCAGAGAGCTCCATGAGCCCCATCAAGGCTGCTCCCTGAAATGGAGTATATTCCCCTGCTCACAGTCCCTCAGTAGACCTGCTCCTTTATGGGGATTTTACTTCAGGAGAGGAAAGTGTTTTTCATTCTCTCGGGGATCTATTTTGTAGTTGTGTTGGTCTGAGAAAAAGACATACACAAAGCTCTTAGGTCAGAAGCGATATCTTTTATTAGACCAAATAAATGGTAGAAAAAAAAATCCTTTCTTTGCACGATTCGGGCACACACCTTCCTTCAGGATGAGGAGAATTCAAAGATTGTAAAAGTCCTCCAACATAAAAAATTAACTCTGTTTTGCACAGGGGAGGTAGAGGCTGGAGGTGTATTCCCCTGGGTATCTGAGAGTCCTTTTGTGAGAGTGTTGCTCTGTGATGTGCAGATTAGACTGTCTTCTTCCCTGGAGGTGTTCAATGTCAGAGACAGCCAGGGAGGTGAAAAAAATCCTTCTTTCTTGTTTAGCAATGAAGTTTACTTTTCCAAATAGCGAAAAGCAACACTCTCACAAAAGGACTCTCAGATACCCAGGGGAATACATGTCTAGCCTCTACCTCCCCTGTGCAAAATGGAGATTATTTGCTACCTAGGACTTTTACAATCTTTGAATTCTCCTCAGCCTGAAGAAGGGTGTATATTGCCCAAAAGCTTGCAAAGAAAGGATTTTTTTTTTGCTACTATTTAGTTGGTCTAATAAAAGATACCACCTCTGACCCAAGAGCTTTGTGTATTTCATTCTCTCATGCAGGCATACATACAGTACACCTTACACTGTGGGATTAGCCCAGGGAAGAAGGTAACAACTGCCTCTCCCCAGTGATACTCACGCTTCATTCTTGTTATACGGGGTCTGATCCACCCAGCACCACTGGCCCTCCACTTCCTGGGCAGTCAGACCAATATAGTACATCTTTACTGGCAAGTCTGCAAGCATTTCTTTTACCCACTTGAGCAGGAAATCCTGGATAAAATATGAAAGTAAATATTGCTATCACCAGCTGCAGCAGTGGACCCAACAGCAGGAAGCAGCATCCCTGCAGGGTGGTGTCACTACCCAAAGGGTGTGATTTTTGTTTGTGTGTGCTTCGGCACTGCTAAATTGTCCCCGCTAAATTGCAGCTTCCTTGCACGGTGGAGTTTTCTGCTGCAAAAGAGAACCCCGGTGCAAGGGAGAATTTCCCGCCAATTTGAAGCTTTCTTTGCAGGGTGCATTTCTTTGTTGTAGCATGGAAGTGCTCGTTGCAAAGAGTTCCCGCCATTTGTATGCTAATTCGAGTCCCATTATTGGCCAGTTCTAAATTATTCACACGTAGTGGCTAGTGATTGGCTTGCTAGCCGTATAAGAGGCTTGAGTGGTTTCCGCCCAAGTTGGAGGACTCCACAAACAAGGGAGGAGGAGACTTCATGCTGTGTGAAGATCTCTAAGCGCTGCGGATCCTTACAGACCCAGCGCATTTCAAGCAGGCAACAGAGGTCTGATCAACCTCTAGCCTCTCCCCGTCGCCGATAGATTCCTAGACGTATCCCCTCCCACGCGCAACGAACCGGACCCACGGAGCCTAGCAAACTTTGTGTAGCAGAAGGACCCACGGAGCCTAGCAAACTTCGTGTGAGTCCTTGCTGGACGACTCCAGAGCTCTTCTACTTGGGTTCGAATCCTGCAGGTTTACTTTCCTGTCGCCGAAACCCTTTGCGACGTACCCTCGTATTTTCATCTTCCCGTTGCCAGAACCCTATGCGACGTACCCTCGTGCCCTGCAGGTTCGAGTTTTGTTTTCTTTTCTCTCTGTAACCGCAACTTAAGCAAGTTTTCCAGCCTACACCACTGCCATCTTGGTGTAAGTAAATAATCTTTTAAACTACCGCTACGCGTCCGTGCCTAATTCCAGCTCGAAGGTCTTCCCTCTCCGCCCCGGCGTGCCTGGGCTGCTGGCCACAGCCCGCGTGCAGCGCGAAAAGGGCTCGGGTCGCTCCCGGCCCGCACAGGTGGGACCTGTGGGGGTGGTGCGGGCATGTGAGGGAGACCAGAGCAGAATGAAGATGGAGACAGAATTCCCCACTGCAACTACAGAGCAGGCCCGTGTGTGGAGAGGTCCCACTTGGGGCTGGCACTGACTTCCCAGGGGACCCCCCTCCCTCTTCTTCCCCATCCCAGCAATAAGGTACCTGCTCAGCTTTGGTGTTGATCACCACCAGGTGGGAGCCCATCGCTGTGCAGTTCTTCTCACTGTCATCCCAGGACATAACATCACTGGAGAAGTAGTAGCAGCTGGTTTGAAAGGCCTTCCAGCCCATCGGGCAGCATGTCCAAACCAGCTCTGGGAGGGGAGAGAAAGCAAACTCCAGTGACTGCCCATTGCAGTGCAGGTGCAAAACCTGTGCTGTGCTGCCTCTTAGTCATTGCAGCATTTCCCATTGTTCCCTACCATTACTCTGAAAGGCATGAATCTGTCCTGCCTCTGTGCATTTATCTAGGCTGGTAGACAGGTTGTGCTGTGATGGAAGGAGGCTTGAGTCTAAAAAGGTTGAGAATCACTGGTGTGGACAACCCCCATTTTGAGCTCATCCCTTCCTGTAAGCCCATTTCCCCAGACTCCTGTAATTGTTTGCTGTCAGTCAAGACCCAGGTGTGAATTAGGCCCCCAGCCTTGAATGCTGATTCTAGGGATTATCCCTGACACTCTCTCACACAGTCACTGACCTTTGCTCCCAGGCATCCCCTGAGCACAGTGCCACTCTGGGAAAGTCTCAGGTAGTGTCCTGTGAGCTTCACGGCTTTGTTTATGGAGGATAACTGGAAAAGACAAGAAAAATAAAACAATGAATACAATATTTCCTTCCATCCTCTTCCCCTTCTCATGTGAGTAACCCAGTTTTTTCACCTTCTGCCAAGAAATACCCCACTCATACCCTCAATTTTTTTTACTTAATTATGTTCAAAATGTCAGCAACCATCTTGCATGAACTCTCAGCTGGGGAGAAACTATAGAGTTATATGACCATGAATCTCATTCAACAAGTTAAAGTGTGAGACACATGGATGAAGGTTGTCCACCTGTGCCATGAATGTCACAAGGGCACGGGCAGCCTCTGCATGTGGCACACATCAAATTGGGGTGGGGACCAGTAGCACAATAG